CAGACAGCTCTCAGACCACACTGAAAGATCCCACATGATGCAGCAAAGATCTCGCATGCTGCAACTAAGGCCTGACATGGCCAAATAAACAAATAAATATATATATATCTCTATATACAAAGAGTATACAGTGGATGTGCGTTGTTCCTTCAGACCCGACTCTCACCTACCTCGGGCTGAAGCTCTCATAGCCTCAGCTTCTCAGAGTGTTGACAGTGAGTCCCTCTGCTGGCCTGCCCTTGGTCCAAGAGAGCTACCTCACCCAAAGTCACATTCCCTTCCTACGGCGGCACATATCTGCTGATTAGTCAGTGTCAACGCAGAGTCCTGATCCTCCTTGCTTCCGATGTAGGTGACTCTAAAGAGCCATCCCAGCCTGAGAGCTTCCTCATGACGGAGTTCTTCCTCTGCTCAGCCCTGCTTCCTTCCCCACCCCCTACTCCGCAGGTGTTGATCTTAGCAGCACTCCCCAGTCAGCATCCTGCACGAAAATCTCCCCACCGGAGCCGACTTCCTGGGAGACCCAACCCGGGACAGGGAATAATGGTCAGTCTCGGCACTGACGCATGAACCTCGTGTGGGGTTCTCAGAGCACATCCTTCTCAAGTGTTTCCTGCAGCCTGTCTCCCAAGGAAAGTAACTCAACAAATTCCTATTGTTCAGGCAAAGAAAAAATTATCCCCTAAAAACAGAAAAAAATTCAGTTCTCTTCCTTTTCAGTTCTATAAATGGAACTTCATTTGTGTTTACCGTATGAGTATTTTTATTCCAACTCAGAGAACTGGCAGGGCTGTGTGTTATACCCTGGGCATGTGAGTGCGGTATCAGGTCTATGAGCTTTTATCCGAGGACAATGATGTTTGATGTCTGGAAAATATGTTGGCTCTTAACTACAAACAAAATAAATTAAATTAAAAACCCTTAAAAATCTCTGAATAATTGTATACTTACATGCTTACAAAAGGGACCATACGTCAACCACAGTAATGGGTAAATTTCTGTATTCACGTGCATATTTTAAAACAATTGGTACTTAGGTACTTCTATAGGAACTCCTGAGCTTTCATGATCATTGTTGGGAAGTCATAGAATTACAAATTAAATACGTCACTTGTAAGTCAAATAGTTTTAATAACAGAAGTAGAAAAATTACTTCAGATTTACCACAAGATCATACTTAAAATGAGCTGTAGGTACATTTTGACATGATGTGGGGTGAGAACTCTAAGAGCGCCTAGGCCTGTGACAGCCTTCATATGGACCTGATAGTTACAGATATATTGGGCCATAGTGCCTAAAATTTAATTAGCACACAGGTGCTCAATAAGACACACAGACTTCGCTCCCCAATTAACTTTCAACTCTCCCTTGCCCACCTTCACCTCTTGTGCTCAGAGAGACGTGGGGCATGTGGTTGGTAGACTTCTTTGCGAGGTCCAAGATGGGGACACTTTTCCCTAAGAGATAACCCTAACCATGCCAGCCTGTAGCTGTGGGCGCTAGAGATCCCCAAGCAGGGACTGTAGGGCTCCTTCTTGTCAGGCCTTATGAAGATGATGGAAGCGTGGATGGAGGGGGCTGAACCCACACTCTATGACGAGACCTCTGCATTTCCCGTGTACTAACAGGGACTATGATGCCTGCAGGGATGACAAGGATACAGAAAGAACTCGGACTGCAACTTCCTTCATCTTCTTACCAATGAAGCATTAGTACTTATGATCTTTTTATTAGCAAATTATCCTACTTCTCTTTAAAACAAATCTTTTTTTTTTTTAATATTGCACATTTCTTCTCTTGTTCCCCAAGTATGCTTACATCTGACTTTCAGTTAAATGAATCAGCAGTCAGTTTTTATATTTTCAGAACTGTGCTCACCATTAATCAAGGTCAGGTATTCCCCAAGAACATGGCTCTCACGAGGCTGTGCCTGTGACTCAGCACCCTCTTTTCAGATTCTTTTTTTTTTTTAATTGAAGTATAGTTGATATTCAAGGTTGTGTTAGTTTCTGATATACAGCAAAGTGATCAGTTATATATACACACACACTAAGACCAGTCTTTATCAGTTGCTTTTGATAGAGATTAGGCTTCAATCCAAAGCTCCTCACCTCCTCCCAGCCTTCCCCCTCATCCACTTCTAAGGGAAACACCCCATCCTCAGGCCTACTGAGCAGGCTTGGCCATGTCCCATACCACCTGACTCTCATCTCCCTGGCCCCAGTTGAGACTACCTGAAAGATCCCATGTTCCTAGCCACCAGAGATCTCCAACTATCCAGAAGCCAGTCACCTGCCTGGCCTGTGACTCCGGAGCAGCTTCCACCTATGGCATGACCCTGTTGCTCTTTCACCAACCCCAGAGTCCTCTAGGCCCCTCATGTCCTCTGTCTTAGCCTGTAATCCTCACTGAGCTCAGTATGATGTTGGGGGGCTGCAGGGAGGGCCAGCACCTCTGAGCAGAGGGATGACCACCTTTAGCCTTGCAGAGACAAGGGCAGAGCCCCCTTTACCAGATAGCACTGTGGTCAAAGCACAATCAGACCTCAGTTCTCTCCTCTCCTCCCAGGAAAGTCAGCAAGGCAACGGCGGAAACTTCCTAATCTAAGGAACATTGGTGAGTTAAGATTACAGAGCTGTCTGCAGCTTATCTAATTGGGTTTATGGAACACGGGTCCTACACTCCTGTGAGGCCTCCACCAAACTTTAAATTGCTTCTGGGATTAAGACTGGCCCCAAACAACCAGAGCTCTAGATTGCGCCGTGGTTCCTTGACAGAACCTCTGGAGAGAGGGCCAGGGGCAAAGATCATGACCGCCAGGATCTCCGGGAAGCAGTTCCTCGAGCTGTCCTCCCTCCTGCTAGCTCACTGGGGGTGGACAAGGCCAGGGGAGGGAGCAATCAGAGCCCCTGCAGCTACGGCCAACCCCCAATTCTCCTTCACTTGCTGTGAACTCTGAAGGGACTGCTCAGCTCCAAGACAGCTACACAGAGCTTCCTGCATGCTTCCAGGCACAGTCCCACCACAGGGGATGGTCAGGGCAGGCAGTTCAAGCCATCACCTCCCAGCCGTCTTCCCTGCCCAAGACCTCCTGCCCAGGTGAGCTGCTGTCCCCACCATGGCCTCATCCCCACATGGGGCACAGACCTGTTTCTCTCTGTGGCCAAACCTTCTTCAGATTGGTGGGGAGCAGAGGATAGGTAGCACCTGGTCACAGCTTCCATGTCTCTGAAGGGTTTTAAGGGTAAGGGAGCAGTCATGGCCTGGAAGTTTCGACCCACTTTGGGGCAGAGCAGGGTTGAGGAGTGGGGATGATACTAGAAAAGGAAGTTTCTCTTCAGTTTAAGGGAAAACTTTCCAACAATAGAGGATCTCTGATCAAGGAATGGGAGCCATGTACTCACATAACTCAAGGCATTCAAAGGAGCAATTGGAAAAATTTGGTCTCATAGAAAGTATTTACACAATGAAGGTGAAAGAGGCAAGACCAGTTATTTTACAACATTCCTGCCTAGTCTGACAGTCTCTAGTCAACAGTATTAATATCTTGAATAACAGATCTCTTTTTCTCAAATGTTCCTGACACCTACAGTTAATCTTCTCTAATAATTGCATGAGGGTAGCTTGAGACTCTGCCTGGTTTCTCCCACCCAATTTCCCTCAGCCAGCACCAGTATAATAGTCACAGATGCTGTGAATGAAGCCCAGGGATACACTGCTATGAGGCAGATGTCTTGCAGAAAGGTGCAACACCTCTATTTCACATGAGTGTCCTGGGGAAGTGAGGATGCCCAAGACTTCATCATCAGTCCTTCGCTCCTCAGTAGACCTGCTCTGGCATGAATGGAACAAAACTACATTCAGAGAGATGAAGGGAGAAAGTGAGCAGCCAGGCTCCATTCTAGCCCCGTCCTCACTGAGCTCTAGTTTCATCTTTAATGTGAGAACTCCAGGCTCAAGATTTTCTCTAATGTACTAGACCTACTTACTGCTCTATCGTGACTGAAGTGCATCCTAAGTGCATGTCTCCTTTGAGCCACTCCTCTGCAAAGCTGGGTAATTGTCTGTTTTTCTGTGGGGGAGAAAGCATTGTCTAGCCCTGCGGTGGCTTTAATTAGCTCAGGAATAGAAGGGCCTGAGCTAGGAGCTGCGGCTTACAAAACTGCTCCAAAAGCAAGGAGCTTGGTCCAAAAGCCACTGATGCTCACACTTGGAGGCATGATGGACACTTGTCCTTGGACCCTGTCCCTGCTCCCCAGTCCCAGGGGCTGGTGAAGCCTGAGGGAACTGCAGTTCTGGGGGCAAAGGTCATGGGTAGAGAGAGGGGGTATGGACTGGCAGTGGTCTTCTGACCGGAAACTCCTTATTTACATTGCAACAAAGGGAGGTCGCCAACCAAACTCACAAGAAATGAAGTATGAACCAGGCACCAAGTAACTAATGTTGATGCTAAGCAGACCCTAATACTCCTGGCCTCTGCTCACCACATTCTGTGTAGGACTCCACATGGAGCCAAATTATCATCAGAAAAGTATTACCCAAGCACAGAATTAGAGCCAGGAGAGCGAGTGCGGTGATGGCAGTTGTCAGCATCACTAAGTGTGTGCTTGCCCGAAGCCCCCGCGGACCTGCAGGGACAACGTGGGGACACGCAGGCCCGGATCGGGCAGCACACCCTCAGCGTTTCTTTCTCATAGTCCTCACCCATCCTTACACGTCCCTTCCTTCAAGTGAGTTAGCATTACTGATCAGGCTAAAATTCTACCATATATCATGGTTTGAATAGATTTCCAGGGCCTGCTTTTCCTGCTCTAAATTTGATACATCCTGACTTTTAAGGTAACTTTAGTGAACAGTGAATTTCATCCCTTAGATGCGAATACTATAAGTTAGCATGTCAAAGGTTAAATTTACTGATAAGTTCTGTAAGTACATATTGATCCCTATAAACATGTGTTTCCTGTCCTCAGTTTTCCTGAGGGTAGAAGAGACAATTTAAAATGAAACTGGCGAATCAATCCACTGTGGCAGGATTCGTCTTGCTGGGGCTGTCAGATCAGCCGAAGCTGGAGAAAATGTTCTTTGTGCTCATCCTGCTCATGTACCTGGTGATCCTGCTGGGTAATGGGGTCCTCATCCTGGTGACCATCCTTGACTCCCGCCTGCACACGCCCATGTACTTCTTCCTGGGGAACCTCTCCTTCCTGGACATCTGCTACACAACCTCTTCCATCCCTCTAGTCCTAGATGGCTTCCTTACTCCCAGGAAAACCATCTCTTTCTCAGCCTGTGCCGTACAGATGTNCTCATCCTGGTGACCATCCTTGACTCCCGCCTGCACACGCCCATGTACTTCTTCCTGGGGAACCTCTCCTTCCTGGACATCTGCTACACAACCTCTTCCATCCCTCTAGTCCTAGATGGCTTCCTTACTCCCAGGAAAACCATCTCTTTCTCAGCCTGTGCCATACAGATGTTCCTCTCTTTTGCCATGGGAGCCACAGAATGTGTGCTTCTGGGCATGATGGCGTTTGATCGCTATGTGGCCATCTGCAACCCCCTGAGATACCCCGTGGTCATGAGAAGGGCTGTCTACGTGCCCATGGCTGCCAGCTCCTGGCTGGCTGGTGGCGCTAACTCCTTGGTACAGATCTCTCTAGCAGTACAATTACCCTTCTGTGGGGACAACACCATCAACCACTTCACCTGTGAGATCCTGGCTGTCCTGAAGTTGGCCTGTGCTGACATCTCCATCAATGTGGTCAGTATGGGGGTGGCCAATGTGATCTTCCTGGGAATCCCAGTTCTGTTCATCTTTGTCTCCTACATCTTCATCCTCACCACCATCCTGAGGATCCCCTCAGTTGAGGGGAGGAAAAAGGCCTTCTCCACCTGCTCTGCCCACCTCACTGTGGTGGTCATCTTCTATGGGACTATTCTTTTCATGTATGGGAAGCCCAAATCCAAGGACCCCCTGGGGGCAGACAAACAGGAACTTGCAGACAAGCTCATCTCCCTCTTCTACGGTGTGCTGACCCCAATGCTCAACCCCATCATTTACAGCCTCAGAAACAAGGATGTGAAGGTCACTGTGAAGAATCTCGTGAATCAGAAATGTTTCCCTAAGTGACAGTGGGAGAAAGCAGTGAGTGTATCTTGCAGTTCTCTGCATACAGGGGATCCCCTAGGGAATGGCCACTTGGTAAGCGTAGACTGGCTCCATGATCCTCCACATCAGTCTCACCACAAGACTGATCCCCAAAATGCACATATAGGTAGGGCTTTTCTGAATAACTGAAAATGGAACATCAAGTCTTTAGAATGAAGAGGGGGCTATGCTAAATCACCTAGAAGCAAGGATAAGTGACTATTACAATTTATTTTTATTCTGAAAAAACAACCAATAAAAATTAAAACTTTATACAAAATTGCTTCTTTCTTTGTTCATGTGCAGACTAGCTCCAGTTTGTGCGTGTGATCATGTTGTCTTCTACTCACTGTATAATGGGGAGCATGGCAGTGGGGAAAAGTCACTTCTTTCATAATTTATTTCTTTTTAATTGGAGGATAACTGCTTTATAATATTGTGTTTGTTTCTGCCCATACCTCAATATGAATCAGCCATAGGTATACATAAGTCCCCTCCCCCTTGAACTTCCTTTCTGAAAAGTCGTTGCTTAACTGGTGTCCAAACCAAAAACCAATCTGCCATTTTGGAAAATTACCAAAACCAAAACATCCTAAATGACAATATTTAGCCCCCTTTTCACTGCAGGGGCTCAGAGTGTTTCTCAGAGCCAATTTTATATCCCAAATATAAAATCCCAGAGCCAATATTGGGAAACTCCTTCTTCTCCTCTGTACATAGAGCACATCTATTCCTATCCAGATTTGCAGAAGAGTTGTTTCAACACCAACTGAAATTAGATATTGCAGGCCAAGGGCAAACTTTATAGAAGTCTCTATTTAATCATCGTTGTTGTTCTGTCGCTCTGTCATGTCTGACTCTTTGTGACTCCGTGGACTGCAGTGCACCAGGCTTCCCTGTCCTTCCCTATCTCCTGGAGTTTGCTCAAACTCATGTCCATTGGGTCAGTGATACTCTGAGTCCTTTCCTTCCCCTGGAATTAATGTTTGTGACCATCCAAACCTCCGTGGTCATACTTGATCATATCTAAGATTTGAGTCAGACATGGGCACCAGCTGCTAAAAAAATCTATCTGTAATGACCCTTGTGGTTAAAAGCATAGACTGTGGAGCCAAACTCAAGTCGAGTGCCTCGGACTATGGAACTTCAGGCACATTACAAACATTACTTAATATCATAGACTCTTGGTTTGCTAATTTGTGAAACAGTGATGATTAAACCAACCCCAAGGAGGTTTGGTGGGGATTAAATTGAAATGGGGCATCATATATATTAAAAATGCCCAGTGGCTAGCAAAGAATAACCTCTCAATTAATAAATGAACAGTGTTTATTATTAATGAAATATGTTAAATAATTCTTTTGCGGGAGCTTCATGACACAGATAGAGTTCAAAATCACACTTAACTGGATCAATTTCAGTTTACGATTGCAGCACATTTTTGGCTAGATTTCTAGCTTCTGAGCCAACAATCTCATTTCTCTGGGCATTTTCCCGTCACCCCTCATCCTCATCCACAGAGATGAGGGACTCAGGTCTGTGCTGTCTGATGCTAACTCTATCTAGAACAAGCAGGTTCTTTCTGCCAGGTTTTGGGGATTGTCATTAATGCCCAAAGACTTTTGGATCTATAACATGCAAACATAGGAGCTACAAGGAAATCATGTTTGAACATGTGTCTTGGGGAACTAACTGTACATAATAAACCAATATATTTTATATAGTATAATATACAGTTAATGTATATATTAAGTCCAGATAGGGAATAAAGTTTATTTTGGCAGAGAGTGTTAAATAGAAAACAAGTCTGCAAAAATAAAAGAACAGCTAAAGAGTAAAGACAGGAGATGAAGGCATCTTCCTGTGTTCTTAGTTCTTGATTTCCTTTTTTCCCTAGATCTGGCCACATTACTGCACTTTTGCCTCCAAAGGACACCCCTACATCCTGATACTAGTTTCTATTTTTCACTAATCTAGATTGTTACTTGCTTTGAGGGGAAGGTAATAAAAGTCACATCTAGTACGATTACTAACTTGTGTGAAACAGATACACTCTTTCCTGCACATGTGCAGAGTGCCAGGCCTTGTGCCCTGCAAAAGTCTTTTAGAAATCCGTTTCAAAATAATCATTCTGAAGTCAACATGTAGTGCTTCTTGCAGTCAATTATCCATTCCTGCTACAGCGGATTTGCTCTCTGTGGATTCTATCACCCGTAAATTTGGACCATGTCTAGGGATTGATGTATTACAGGAGCTCTAGGTTCAAATCTTTGCCCTCCCACATACAGCTGGGTGACCATGAGTGTGTCCTCTGTGCTTGAAAAATATTCATCCGTACAGCGAAGGGGGAGGATAGGATATCCCAGGTGACCCCCAGCTGTGAGTTTCCCCGAACCTGTGATTCCTTTCTCTAGTGGGATGGTCCCTTGAAGAGAACACAGCAATGTCTTACAGCAGTATTTCATTATTTGAAGCTGAGTGTGGTATCTCTCACTTCCTCAACACTCAATGTTCCAGGAGATTCTTCAGCGCCTCCATCTTCCCTACTAGGCTCAACAAACAATAAAATGATTCAGGGAGTTGATGTTATCCAACCTCTGTTATTGGACAACTGAGTAGTCAGGATAGCAGAAGACTATCTATGGGCCAACCATCAGGGCCTCGCATTCACAGAGGCTGACGTAGCTACTTCAGCAGCTGAATATTCAAACTGGCAGCAAGAGACCAACCTTCATTTGAAAAGACTCCTCAGCCACCTGGTGGTGAGCTGATTGCATTAGACCATTTTCCTTCTGCAAGGGACAGAGACTCACCTTGACTAAAATCAACACTTTGTCTGAGTATAGGTCATCTTTCCTTCTGCAGGGTATTAGCAAATATTGCTCTCTGAAAGCTCATGGAAGGTTTGATTTAACAGCATGGAATCCTGCATAAAATCTCATCAGACCAAGGGGCTCATTTACCAAAGTAGATGCTGCTGTGGAATCATGGTTATGGGTTCCACTGACCCTTCCACATCATGCATCATCCAGAAGTAGCTGGCCCAACACAGTTGACATAATGGCCTTTTGAAAGCTAAGGCACTAGCAGTTGCAGATGAAAACAACAATGAGATACCTCTACACATCATCAGAATGGCTAAAATTTTAGACTGACAACACCAAATGTTGGCAAGAATATGATATGAGACATCCTATCCTTTTATGATAAGAATGTAAAAGAGTACAAATGCTTTGGCAAAAGACCTATCCATTTCTTAGAAAACTAAGTGTAAATCTGTGCTATGATCCAGAATCTCGTTCTCAGTTATTTAACCAAGAAAAGTTGAAATATACATCTACAAAAGGACTTGCATGAGACTGTTAATAATGGCTTTATTCATAACAGCCAAAATTAGAAACAGTTCAGATGTCCATCAAGAAGGAGATGGATAAACAAAGATGTTCATTTAATGAAATACTACTCAGTAATAGAAAGGGACAAGCTAAAAAACCATGTAAAAACATGACAGATTTTAAGAACCTTATTCTGAATATAAAGACTTGCACATGATTCCATTTACTTGATGTTTCTGAAAAGATAATACTTAAATAAAAGAGTGAAAAATATTAGGAGACTGCTAATAATAATAATAATGAGAACTGACTGGTAGGGTCATGAGAAAACTCTTGGTTGTGCTGTAAACATTCTGTAATGATAAGATTTGGTTACATGGGTGTGAACATGTCAAAACTCATTGGATGATATACTTAAGATTTATTTTATTATGGTTAAGAGCACAACATGATATATACTCTTTTAGCAAAATTTTAAGTGTGTATTACACTACTGTTGACTATAGGTACAATGCTGTACATGGATCTCTAGAGTTTAATCATCTTGCTTAACTAGAACTTTATACCCATTTAAAGTAACTCACATAAAGTATACCCATTTAAGTAACTCACATTTGCCCCTCCTACTGGTCACTGGCAACTACATTCCATTCTTTGATTCTATGGATTGATTTTATTGGGTTATCAATGAACTTAAGATTTATGCATTTCACTGTGAGTAGATTTTACCCAAAAAAGTGGACTACTAACTGTCTGTCTGTCTAAATATACAGACTTTTTATAGCGACTGCTATTGGCAAGCCACAAATTTGTCCAGTACACTTTCTAGCAGCTTCACTGTAGAAGGAAGGTGTATCCTATCAGGTGCTTGTTCTTGTATTTGTTACTATTTCTTTCCCTTAAATAACAGTGAAAAGCTCCTCTTATAAGTAGGTCATCTGAGGGCCTGAGATTCTCTGGGCTACTTGGACTGATGGCAGTCTGATTTGCCAGGATAGCTTTCAGTCATGATTTTATTATGTACTTGTTGAGTTACTGTTTAATTTCTATCATCCGTTGATTATTGTAGATGGTTGTGCTTAGTTCAGGCTCACACCTTCAGTGTAACTGAGCACATCTGTACTGACTCATAGTCTCCCTATCTTTGAAGGGCTAATTTGTAAAAGAAGAAGTAACCATGTTCTGCTGTTGATGTTCAGTTGCTCAGTTGTGCGTGACTCATTCTTTAGGTTATAAGCAGTTACTAAAGTGGAGAGGGTTGTATAAGGCCATGAAATCCAGTAGGAAAGAATTACTGGGGTCATCTTAAAGGTTGCTATCACATCTCAGATTCCACTATACTTCCTGTCCCATGATGTTTTTCAAACATATGACATACTGAGGCTGTGGAAGAAATACTCAAGCCCAAGACCCATGCCAACCTCCATCCCGAAGACGGTAAATCCCTTTCCCCCATCCTTTGCCTCTCTTCATGTGTAAATTCTCCCTTACTGTCCCTGGCCAGAAAATATCTCCTCCTTGAAGTTTCCCCATGGCTCTGGGTGGAAGTTCCCCCAAGCATCCAAATCATGACTTTGAGCACTTGGTTTAGAAGCAGTGTGTCCGTAGAGGCTGATTCCACAATGCTGTGAACACAGAGTATTCCTA